AATTACATTGGGAAAACAGAGATCCTGGAGATGGATTGATTCCATTCTGAGGAGTTTAAAAGAAGAAAGAGAAGAGAATAAAAGGAATACACTAGTGTGTATAGGTGGAATAAGAGATGATAGAACATGCTGTTCCCCACAATTGAGGTACCTGAGGAATATACAAATATGGAGGAAGGGGTTACAGCACCACTATAAAGAAGGGTGATGAATGCAGTGACTAATTATATCTCCAACTTGATGTATATTACCAACCTTCTGAGAGAGAGAGGGGTAATTTATTCAAGGTGCAGAGATAAAAAATTTATCACATGGACACTGTATGGATTAATTTTGCTTAACTGTGTTTATTTGTTACAAAGGTGTTTTTCCCCCTTTCTTTCAGTTTTTAATTTGGGATAGGAGGAAGAGAGATGATAAGAATATTGATTCTTGCCCTTGCCAAAAGAGCCATTGAAACTTTCTTTTTAATGTTCAGAAGAGTACAGAAAGAAGTTCAGAAGGAAGCATAGATAAGCAAGATAGTTTTGAGAATGATATGTGGAATTTATTATATCCTTTTTCTATGAAATGGAAATTCCTGATTTCATATATAATCCCCTTTTTTATGTCCTGAGATATACATGTGTATATGTATCTATGCATATTTATAGATATAAATGCTCTTTTTGGTGCTTAAGTTCAGGATAAAAATTAAATTTTTTAAAGGAAGGATTAAAAATTAATTGGAGATTAGATAGTTTAAACCTAAAATTTAAGGCTCAAACAGCAAATCATATAACAATAGAAAATTTCATCAAAGAAAATGATAGCAATTAGACAACATTCCTAAACATTTGGGATGATCCAAAACAGTCATAAAGGGGAGATGTATATCTCCAAACACTTTCACCAAAAAAGAGAAAGAATATATTAATAAATTGGACATGCAACTTAAAGGTCCTAGAAAACCAACAAATTAAAAAACCCCAATTAAATATCAAAATACAAATCCTGAAAATCAAAGAAGTAATTAACAAAATGGAGAAACATGAATTGAGAAATAAATCTAGAAGCTATAGTTTAAAAAAACATAAAACAGAAACTAATAACTAGTTTGATTTTTTTAAAAAGAGAAAATAGAAAAACCAAATCGACAGTACCAAAAATGAAAAGGTAGAAAGCATAGCAAAAATATTTGTAAGCACTCTTTTTTGTTGTAGCAAAGAACTAGAAACCAAGGGAGTATCATTAATTGGGTAATGGCAGAATGAATTGCAGTTTTTATTTATAATGAAAGATCATGAGTTCTCTTTGGACATACTGTGTTTGAGATACTTATAGGACTTCCAACAGAATATCCAAAAGGCTGTTGGTGAGGTGGGAGCTGTGAAGAAAGACTAGGGTTGGAAATATAGATCTGTAAATCATCTGAAAGATTGAATATGAGACTTATTCTCTGTGCATCTTAATTTCCCCACCTGTCAAACAAGAGATTGGAATAAAAGACCTGTAAGGGTCTGTGTAGCATCACTTATAAGTGGTAGACCCTGTATTAAAAATAGGTCTTCTAACTCCAAGGCCAACATTCTTTCTAGTTCTCTACCCTGCGTTTCCAATAGGTTCCAGGAACACATGGCTAGTAAATTGTGTGTTAACCAAGCCAATCAGTCTGTGATTGGGTATCAGTTAAGGAATCTTCACTCTATAAACCAATTTAGTTAATGCTTTTATATTTTCTTTGTTTTGTGTTTCCCTTAATTTCCTAGAAAAAGTCCCTTTTGAAAATTCCAACCTTGTCTCAGCTGAGGAGAGGAGAGAAAAGGATTTCCCACACCTAGGCAGTATAGCCATGGAAATCCAGATCTCTGAAAGGCCACGCATGATGGTGGCAGCTAGGGATTGCAGTGACCTGGACCTGGACCTGGACCTGGACCTGGACCTGGAGTCAGGAAGACCTGAGTTCAAATGTGACCTCAAACTGAGAAGATTAAAATTGATCCTGTTGGTGGTGGTAGTGGTGGTGGTCCTTCATGATGTCCTTCAAGACATCATGAGGGTGATGTCTTCACTTGCCCCTGAATTGGATTTAAGTGAGGCAGAGCTGAGCAAAGTCGTCAGGCTCACTGTCTCTTCTAAAGTCATTAAAGTCCGGTGGCAAGACAAAAGTCAAAATGTCTGTCAAGGACCCAGGATGCAGTGGGTGACCTTGGCCTTTCTAAATTAAGGTCTTTCCCAGGTCTCAGTTTGTCTGAGGCCACACCCATTCAATGACTAAGGGCTAAGTAAGAGTTGAGACAAAAGATGGCCCAATTTATCATTACAAATATGTCAATCTAGGAGGGATGGACTCTCACATTTTCCCACCCAGACAAAAAACAATTGCTATTTATTCTAAGCCATCAAAAGCTAAACTATGAACCACAGAGACTTCATTGTCAAGTTGCTCCAGACAATGGGCTTTTTAAAAACCTATCTTTTCAGAACTATATTTCAAGAAAACAAAAATGAAAACTGCACAGGACAAAAAGTAAATTGTCCTAACTTTCTGAAAAACAAAAACAAATAAATAAATGAAGAAGAAGAACTGATCCTATAGTATTGTCTTATTGATCCTATTTACAAGTAATTGATTTTACCCTGTAACTGCTTACGTTGTGGTTCTTTGTCTCTGAACTTAGTTCAGAGGTCAGCTGGACCATAAGAGTTAAGTTAAAAAATCCAGCTCTCCCGCTCAAGGAAGTTTACTAACCTTGGGGAATATGTGAGAAAGCAAGGCAGTTTGGGCCTGATATCTTTACTCTACCAAACTATTCTTCAAGGATGTCTAGTTTGCTGTCCAAAAGTCTGGGCCGCTATCTCTCACCCAGACTCAAACAAAAAGTACTTCTTAGACTCATGAGAGAAGAAGGGGGTTTATTGCTAGTCCCCCTTACCAAATTTTCAAACAATCATGTTATTCCCTTTGTCTCCGCTCTGTAACCGGTCACGATTGTGTTCCTTGTTCTGTTCTTTGTTCTATACTTCCAAAACCTCTTGCTGGAAGAACTGCAACTGGGGTTGGGCAAATAGGGCTGTGCCCGCAGTGCATGCAGCTTTAGAGGAGGGGTGCTTTTACCCTAGGAGAGTGTCCTTCCTTCCAACCTCAAAAAATTGCCCCTGCATCCCAGGCCATTGCCAGTCGTCTTGACTTTTGTCATGCCATTGGACTTTGATGACTCTGGAGGAGAGAGTGAGGCTGATGACTTCAATTACCTCTGCCTCACTTAAATCCAGTTCACAAGCAAGCCAAAGTATCACCCTCCTGTTGTTAGAAACGGGGTTCAGACACTCCTTGGTAAGGTTAGGGAGTTACTGGGTGAGCTGTTGCAGCCCACTGTTTCCCTAATTGCAAACCATCAGAGTTCTGTTCTCCTTCAAGGAACGAAACTGAACCAAAGTGAGTGAAGTAAGTGTTTATTTACGGTTCTTGCAAGAAGCAGGTGTGTATGGTACCCCAAAAGGACACACACCCCGACAGAACCCAGAGCAAGCCTTTACTGAAGTTAGTTTCTTTTTGTCCCTCCCTTCAGAGCCAGGATTGGTCCCTGTTCTTACGGGTTACAATCTTCCTGATACTCCCACTTCATATTACTCCTTAACGTGTCCCTCCTCCTGTTAACATATGAAATGTGCCTAGTTTTTAGTTTTGTGCTACTGCTCTCCTCTGGGCAGAGAAGTTAGTATTAAGGAGCCCATTATACATTCGCATGCACACTCTAAGTAAAACTTAACCTTTGTCTTACTTCCAGCCTCTTTAACCAAACAACCAGTTTCATCCACTTTTAGCCAATGCTAGAACCTCTGACCTAGAGCTACCTTTTCTCTCAGTTTCTTTATATGGAAATATAATCATGTCTTACCTCTCACACTGTTTATCATTGGAACAAAGGACGAACAACTCCCCAAGACCTATATAAAGCAAACTGTTCTTTTGTTCAAGGTCTTTGGCATCAATGGAGGCAAGCCATTACTCATTTATTGACAGGTAGCATGCCTCTTCTAATAAATGTTATCTGGTGCAGAGATCTGCCTCAGTTTACCCTTTTGTTAAATTTCAGTCAAAACAAGACTCTAGTTATATGACTGTAGGCAAGTCACTTAACCTCTGATGCCTCAGTTTCCTCAACTGTAAAATGGAAATTATAGTAATAGCACCTACCTCACAGGATTGTTGTGAGTATCAAATGGCTTGTAATATTGCCTGGCACATAGTAAGTGATGGGGTTGGGATCTAGACCCCTGAAAGGAAAAACCCTGGACTTTCCCACTCTGGCGTTTGCCTGAGGCTATAATCCCTTCAACTGACCTTTCATTGTGACTACACCCAATCTCCCCTCCATTGTCTTGCCTCCCTATGGCCCCAGGACACTTCCCACCCTAGGCAATTCTCATGGACTACTTGGCCACTCCCACAGTCTTTCTGGAAGACAAAAGATGGCCCGTCTTTTGTCTTGGATCCCTCCCACAGTCTTTCTGTATATAAGGTCTATCTTGTCTCCATGAAGATGCTAGGATTCTTATAATCTAGCCACTGCTTAGATTCTTAAAATCTAGCCAATAGCTTACTAATGTTCAGACTCCTTAAGAGTCTGCCCAATATGATGGATGTTCTAATAAACCTTATCTTTGGCTGAAAGAAGGCTTAGGTCAAATTCTTTCAGGCAGGACTCTCGTGTTGTGATTGTGGGGTCCCAGCGCCCCTGAACCTCTAAACCGCATCAATAAGCACTATAAATGTTAGCTATTTATTTTCCAGTTAAATCAAGTTTGTTTTTGTTTTTTTTTAAATCATGCTGTGCAGATGTAACCCAGGTATATTCTCTCCAGTGCACATGCAGTAGTGAACAGGGAATCTTATGATGTCTCAGAATGTGTCATCTAAGAGCAAACAACTTGATTATCCTTAGAATTCAGAGGGAAGACTTTAAAGGGAATGCTTTAAATGACTTTGACTTTCAATGACTTTGACTTTCTTATAGGCTCAGGGCCCTTCCCTGGGATCATCGACATCTTTGGAGCTGGAGGTGGCCTGTTGGAATACAGAGCTAGTCTGTTGGCTGGACATGGTTTTGCTGTGCTGGCCCTGGCATACTATGCCTTTGAGGACCTCCCCAAAGACATGAAGGAACTTCATTTGGAATACTTTGAAGAGGCTGTCCAGTACCTGAAAAACCACTCCCAGGTTGTCTTCTCATTTTATGACTTCGTTCTTCTTTTAGTTTCTTTGATTCTGGGGGTAGATGCTTTCCCTGATTGCTCTTCATTTTTCGAAATTGTACCAGGAATGAAACCTCCTATTATAAGAGTTTATTGAGAAGTAGAGTGGTTTGCTATTTCCTTCTCCAGTTCATTTTAATAGATAAGGAAATTGTAAATAGAGTTAAGTGACTTATCCAGGGTCCCATGGCTGGTAAGTACCTGAGGCAGAATTTTAACTCAGGTCTTCCTGACTATAGGAGGTCCAGTGCTCTATCTGTTGTACCAACTAACTTTCTTGAATTTTAAGTCACTCTGTGATTGTGAGCAATTTGGTCCTCAGTTTCCTATCTGAAAAATGGATATCATAATATTTCTAATATAGGGTTATAATAAAAATGCTATATAACATGAGCTTTACATGTCATGTTGATATAAGCAGGGGTTAGTGCAGAATTCAGTAAGTTTCTCTTAGGACAAGATTAAAGCTATTGTTAAGGTTTTTTTTAGGCAATCAGAGTTAAATGACTTGCTCAAGGTCACACTGCTAGTAAGTGTCAAGTGTCTGAGGCCAGATTTAAACTCAGGTCCTCCTGACTACAAGGCCAGTGCTTTACCCACCATACCTCCTACTTGTCCCTTATTGTTATATTTGTTAGTCATAACATTACTCTCATTTCTTCTCTGACTTTCTCAGGTAAAGGGTCCAGGAGTTGGGCTGCTTGGATTTTCTAAAGGGGGTGATCTGTGCCTCTCCATGGCCTCCCATTTGAAGGACATTACAGCTACTGTCACCCTCAATGGCTCCATGGCAAATGTAGGGTCTGTGCTACACTATAAGGGTATGACCATTCCCCCACTGGGTAGTGACCCAAAACGTATCAAGATGACTAAAGATGGATTTGCAGACATTGTTGATGCTCTCAACAACCCTTTGGAGGAACCCAACCGAAGAAGCTTAATTCCAGTCGAGAAGGCTGAGAGTTGCTTCCTGTTTCTCGTTGGTCTGGATGACCACAACTGGAAAAGTGAATTCTATGCCAACGAAGCTGCCAAATTGTTACAAGCCCATGGGAAGAAAAAACCCAAGATTATCTGTTACCCTGCAACAGGACACTATATTGAGCCCCCATATTTCCCTGTGTGTCCGGTTTCCTTTCACGCTTTGGTGGGAACACTTGTGATCTGGGGAGGAGAAGTTAGTGCCCACTCCATGGCCCAAATCGATGCTTGGAAACAACTCCGAGCCTTCTTCCACAAACATTTAGGAAAAGATTAGATAACAAATCCCCCAAATTGCAACTCACCATTTAGAATTGAAAATGGTATGTGCTAAGGGTGTGTTGAGATGATACCAACTAGAGAGATTATTTTTAGAATAATTGGAATAGGGTTTTTCTTCTCATCATTAAGATAAAGTGGAAAGTAATAATAATTTTAAAGCTCTTAAAGTTTTTTTTTTAAGTAAACAGTTTTCCCCCAGGAATAAAAGAATAATTTTGTGAAACATAAGAATGGTGAGAGAGTACTTATTTTACATGGGATATAAACTCCATAAACTCATAGAATTGTCAGGGACCTCCTAGGCCTGTACAAGTTGCTTAAAAATTTCTTAGAAATATTCTCTCTGTGCCTTAAGAAAGTTATCAGATCTTAAAAATAAACAAATAAGATACTAGGTATAGGATCTAGTACCAAATAATGTGCTGGTCATAGCAAAAGCCTTATCTTTACCTGTTTATAGAAGTGGTCCAAGTTTGGCATCTGGTCCCAGGAGCTAGGATACCCAAGTATATTTGGTACTAAATGACTATATAGAAAAGTACAAAAAAGGGAGGGGATGAGGAGGTTCAGTCACTTTCTTAGGCTGGACAAGTGGATCACCAAAGGCAGGGAAGTGTGCTCATCTGAATTAAGGATGTAGCCTCACCAAATACCTTTTTTCTGTTCTCAATATCTTTCCCCTGCAATGGCTTGTCAGTTATTCTACGAGTATCTGATTTTGTTTCAATCCCAAATCTGAGGTAGCAGACCAGCCCAGATCAGGCCTGGTCTATTATATGTGTTCACCTGTAGGTGGCAGTGGGCAAATAGAGTCTTTCCCAGCCCTGCCCTACTTGTGAGCCAAAGAAGATAGAATTTCAGTGTAGGAGAGGAATACCGCATCATTTCCTTTCCCTCCCTGTCAGCACCGTGATGCCTTTGTATCTGTCCCCTACCTCCAAGCCTCTCTGTTCCTTTCCCCAACACTTATTCCACTCCGCCATTTACAGGATCTCTTGTATCAATGAACCCATTCTATACCAATACATAACAGCCCATCTCTACATCCCAAGACCTCTAATGTACTATAAAATTAAAAACTGATTTTAATTCTATTTTGCTAAGACTGAATCAAGCTAGATTTAATATTCGCTTTTGTGGTTCCTTCTCCTTGTAAACTTCACCCACCAGCCACATCCCAGAGAAACTTTCCTAAAGGTCAAGCTTTGCCTCCACCTTTGTAACCCTACCCATCACCCATTTTCCAGAGAAACCTGATTAACCTAAAAGATCAAATCTCACCAATTTAAACTACTGCATTGTTGTTCAGTTGTGATCCCATTTGGGTTTTTTTTGGCAGATGAGGAAACAGAGGCAACAGGGTTAAGTGACTTACTCAGGGTCACCCAGCTACTAAGTGTCTGAGGCCAGATTTGAACTCAGATGAGTCTTCCTGACTTCAGCCCAGGTACTCTATTCACTGAGCCACCTAGCTGCCCTTAAGATATTATAGCAACTCCCATCTCCTGAGAACATTTGTCTTGTGAGCTCAATCACATGTCTTGGCTGTGGTTAAAAGGGTTTCACTTGGGGAGGTCCAAATGATGTAATCTAATTTTTGACTATGTCATCAATAACCAATCAGAAGAAGACAAACTTATGTTGTTTGAGATTTTGCTCTGTCATCTTGCTAATTATTATAAAAGACCCTGTCAGCCCTCACTCTAGGTCTTTGGTCATTGAGAAAGGCTATTGATCTAATTCACTGGTTACTGCTAGCCTAATGAATACATTGATTGTGCTCAGAATTTTGACTCTCAGAATTTCTATCAGACAAGACCAGCCCCTTCCTATTAGCCAAAGACCTTAAGCACCCAGTGAAAATGTTGAGGAAATGAACCACCTCCCTAGACAACAGTAGGCAGTACTATAAATGACAATACCTAAGCTCCCTTTCTTCCTCTCAATTGAGCAGTACCTTGTCAAGATATTGGGAGACCCCCTGTTTTCCAGAGCTAAGTTAGCCCAGCAAGCAAGCTGTGCCCTGAACTTGGCATAACAACAATCCTTTGTGCTCCTCTTCTGGAGCTGAAACACCAACAGGCCCAGGCATGAAGCCCTGCTATGAACGGACTTTTTGTCACTAGATAATCTTGCCTCACTGCTGCTGTTGTACCTCATTCCTCTTGCCACACTACACTGTTTGACTCTTTGCCTAGCCACAAGTATATAAATCATAGTTCAGTGCCACTGCCTTGGGTCCCTTCAACTAGGTGCAGGGCCCCAGTACATGTGTCATTGCTTGTAAGACCTTTCCCTCATTCTGAAATTCAACATCTGTTTGATTCCTGACTCTCTTGTCTCTAGCCAGCTCTGTTCAGCTCTGGCCATCCACAGGTTAGAGGCCAGTTTGGTCCAGTTGACAATCTCAATCTCCCGACATTGTGTTGGCTTTTTTAAGGAATAGCTCCAGTTTTATTTTTGTTTATTTGTTTTTAATCAGGTTCCATCACCCTCCGGAAGTTTGGGGGAGTAATTTCTAAAACCAGAGAAAGGAAATGCAGTATTAGCTAGTGGTGGTAAGGACAGGGGCTGGTCTGCAGATTGATCACAGTTTTCTCAGTTTCCTTCCCATTTGACCTTTTAAAGATCTGTGATGCTTATTAGAAGACCTGTGCTATGAGGCTTCAAGCAATCGTGTGGGTGTGTTTGGAAGAACAATAAGGGATCAGGAGAACCCTAAGTTAGAGAGAGTGAGATGAAAGCATTTGCAAAATACTGATATAACTCACTTCATTCTCTTTAAAGTCCCTGAGCATCTCACTTTAGATATAATATTTTAACTTTATAGCCAGGGTAGAGCTGGACAAACCTCTTGAAAATTTGATGGCAGAGGAGAAAGCACAAGAAATAAATGAATTTGGTGAAATAAAGTTAAGATAAAGATAGATAACGCATTTATTAAGTACTTACTATGTCCTAGGCACTGGGTTGAGTTCTGGGGATGCAAAAAAACCAAAGATTAAGTAAGGCATTATTAGCAGTCTTTACAGACAAAGAAGAAAACCATCTACATTCTGCATTTTAAAAATCACATTAATGTCAAACAGTTTGTGAAATGGACTGCCTGGAGAAAAAGTGGATTTTCCCTCCCTCCCTGGAGATCTTGAAGCAGAGGCTATTTTTCTATAATGTTGTAATGGGGATTCCTTTTGAGTATGGATTGGAATGGATAGTTCCTGAAGGCCTTGTTAAAAATGGGGTTCAAACACTCCCTGGTAGAGTTAGGGAGGTACAATCGAGCTGTCACAGCCCGCTGCTTCCCTAGTTGTAAAACGTTATTTACAATTCTTGCAAGAAGTGGGCGCATAGTACTCAGGAGGGACACACACACACACACACACACATACATACATACAAGCTAACACAAGCCTTTATGCAGTTAATACCTTCTTGTCCTTCCCTTTTACAGGTCACAATCTTCCTGATACTCCTTAACATGTTTCTTCTCCCGTTAACATATGAAATGTGCCTAGTTTTTAGCTTTGTGCTATTGCTGTCCTCTGGGCAGAGAAGTTAGTATTAATGAGCCCATTATCATGTGCATGCACACTCTAAGTAAAGTTTAACTTTTGTCCTACTTCAGCCTCTTTAACCAAACAATCAGTTTCCTCCTGTGTTAGCCAGTTCTAGAACCTCTGACCTAGAGCTACCTTTTCTCTCAATTTCCTTATATGGGAATATAATCGTGTCTTACCTCTCACAGCCTTTCTAAGGTCTGTGCCTTGAGAGAGCTCAACTATTCAGCTCTGAACTCCTTGGCACCTTGCATTCTTATCTTCTCCCTTGCCATCAATCCTACTGCTGCTGCTGCTACTCCACCCACTAAATCAGCCATTGCAGACCATCCCTAGGACAAATTAATTCCTTCTCATCTTCACTGTGGCCATTTTCTGCTTTGCAGCCGTAGAGTAGTCAGAGGCTTCCTCTTTAAGGTTACCATCCATCTGTATCTTGTATGGACCAATACTATTCCCATTTTACAGATGAGACTAAGAGAAGTTAAGGGACTTGTCTAGAGCCACACTGCTATTAAGGGTCTGAAGCTGAATTTGAACTCAGGTGTTCGTGACACCAAGTCTAGCTCTCTATACATTGTGTCATTTAGGTGCTTAACAAAACTGCCTCATTTTCAGATGGCTATTGAATTATTTAGCAAAACGAGATAATAGAAATGCAAGCTTGCCTTTGAGGAGAAAAAGCATTCTCTTAATCTATCCTAGGCAGCTGGGTGGCACAGTGGATAGAACACTGGACTTGTATTCAGGAAGATCTGGGTTCAAATCTAGTCTCACACATTTAGTAGCTGTGTGACGCTGGGCACATCTGTCTGCCTAAGTTTGCTCATCTATAGATGCAAATAATAATAGCGCCTACTTCACAGGATTATTGCAAAGATAAAATCAGATATTTGTAAAATCTGATGCACACATGTATATATATATATTTGTGTGTATATATCTAGTATAAATACATGTGTGTATGTGCATATGTTGTATTTACACATAGACAATGCAAGTGTGCTGAGAATTCTAGGCTCTGTATCCATATGCTAATATTATTAACAAATTAGACTCCCTCCTTCTTTTGATCTAGTCCCCAGTTCTGGGGTAGGAGAAATAAAAAACATTCCCTATCTTGATTTGATCATTATCTTTTCCTCAGAATGGCTTGATTTTGTTACAAACTAAAATGAGAAACTGAGGAAGAGAAGACTAAGGTCTGGGATTTAGTAAAAAATCAAAATAAAAGTGTAACAGGGTGTGCCTGTTAGATTGAAGGTTATTAGAGCTGGAGACTCAGAATTAGAATGAGAAAGACCTTTCTGGCACAAAGAAAACACTCCACACCTTAGATGGAGTCTGAAGCTGGAAAAATTCAGTTGCATACAAACAAGGCTATTGAGATAACAAACCTGCCCCTGGACATAGACTTCTAGCACAGCTTGGTCCCCAGCCATTCTCTTGGAGTCTGTGAAGTGAAACTTGGTTGATTATAAGTAAAAATGGAATCTCTCAATTTAGGAAGTCCCATCTGAACCAGGAATGATTGTCAAACCAGAGAGGCTAGAGACCTCTCTCATCTCTGTCCTAGCGGTGACCAGTCTCAGAGCTTTGAAGCAGTCTTCAGACAAAGGCTTCTGCCAGTCCAATACTTGGCTATGGGTTACTGCTTTTGCTAAAAAGAGTACTGTCACATCTACCCGAACCCAGGAGCAGAAGATAATAAAACTGCCCATTGAAGATGGAGGCCAGGGAGTCAAACAGAGATGCCTCACTCTGAGAAGAGCCCAACAGCAGTAGCTGTATGCCGTGTGTGTGTGTGTGTGTGTGTGTGTGTGTATGTATGTAAAGGTAGAAGATTACAAGACTGTTTATATACATATATACCCTATCTCACCACATAATTATCGCCACCACATAATTGTTGCACCCTGTTTTTTCAGTCCAAAAACTGGTTTATAACCTTTCATCGTGTAATTGTCACATGGCATAATTCTGTTCCTCACACTGCTTAAAAGATAAACAGAGCAACAATGTATTCACCCGTGGATACGGCTACTGAGCCTGTAATTCTCAGCACACTTGCACTGTCTATCTGTAAAGGAGTGGATGACAAGTGGTGATCACCAATTGATACCCATTGGAAGTATGAAGTTCCATCCTTGGATCTGATATACACCTGGGTAATTAAGAGTTGGGACCTTATACCACACATAACAGTCATCAAAAGCTTCAAAAAGACAGGAATTTCAAATGCACTAGATGGATCTGATGATGACGCACTGTGGCAGAGCGCTGATGAAGTAAACACATCCAACATGAGTGGCACTGAGGGCGGCCTGTCGGATAGCGAAACCAAAGATAGTGGTGCAAAATCTTTGGACACAGAAGATTAAATTTTGTAAGTTTGTACTTTGCAGCACTGTAGTAAATTTTCTCAAGTGTAATATTTCGATTATAATGCACAAATCAATAACAACTAAAGTGTTAACTTTATTTTTCAGACTGGAAAAATGTTCACTTAACTGTTAGGAAGAAACTATGTACGTGGA